TAATTGCTTCTTTTTCACTTTTTAAATTCTAAAAAGAAGAAATGGCTGCTGCGGGGCCCCTAGGGGGCCTTCGTGCTGCTGCGAGGCCCTCGTGGCTCGAAGACGAGCCGCAGCAGCAGCGCTTGCAGCAGCAGCAAGACACCCTCAGCAGCAGCAGCAGCAGCAGCAGCAGCAGCAGCAGCAGCAGCAGCAGCAGCAGCAGCAATGTGGGCTTGGGGGCTCGCGCCTACGTCTACTTCACCACAGATATGCCCGAAGCCCTCCAGCTGCCGCAGGAGCCCATCAGCATTGAGGTGTCTGTACACCGCAGCGAGTTGTCCAAGGTAAACATTGCACCCAACCTAAGGGGGGCCCCTGGGGGCCCCTGGGGGCCCCTGGGGGCCCCTGGGGGCCCCTGGGGGCCCCTGGGGGCCCCTAGGAGATCTGGGGCCCCTGGGGGCCCTTGAGGGCCTCGAGGAGCCCTTGGGGGCCCCTAGGAGATCTGGGTGCCCCAGGGGCTCCTGGGGGCCTTTGGGGGCCCCTGGGGGCCCCTGGGGGCCCCCTGAGGGGCCCCCCTGCTGCTGCGTTGCTGCTGCGTGTAGGGCCCCCGTTTGTGGAAGCTTGCGTTTTGCTGCTGCTGATTAATTAATTGGATTTGCTGCAGTGTTTAATTTGCTGCTTTGGCTGTTGGGCTGTGGGGTGTGGGGTGTACGTACACCCGGCGGATGTGGGGTGTGGGGTGTGGGGCGTGGGGTGTACGTACAGCTGGTGAACAAACTGCTGGCAGCAAAGCAGCCGGAGTTGTGGCCCTCGGCGCAGCCCCTGGACTTTTACGTGGACTGCAAGACTCTTCTCGTCAAGTCCCTCAGGGAGTCTGCTGCTGCTGCTGCTGCTGCTGCTGCTGCTGCTGCTGCTGCTGCTGCTGCTTTCTTAGCTGGCTTAGGGGTAGTCTGCTGCTGCTGCTGCTGCTGCTGCTGCTGTTGGCGTAGCTGGCAGGCGCTGCAGCGGGCCACTGCATGCGGCTGTTTCGCCAGCCCAGCGTGCCCCACGCTGGCCCGTGCACATCCTGCTGCTGCTGCTGCTGCTGCTGCTGCTGCTGCTGCTGCTGCTGCAGGCACATGCAGCAGCTGGGCCTCACTGCTGAAGTCCCAGTTCGCCTGCACTACGAGATTGCCCGAAGGCGAGGGCCGCAGCAGCAGCTGCCGCCCGTGCCGGACTGGATTTCTGGAATTGCTGTGGCCAAGACTCACGGTGATGCTGCTGCTGCTGCTGCTGCTGCTGCTGCTGCTGCTGCTGCTGCTGCTGCTGCTGCTGCTGCTGCTGCTTCTGCTGCTGCTGCTGCTGCTGCTGCTGCTGCTGCTGCTGCTGCTGCTGCTGCTGCTGCTGCTGCTGCTGTGAATTTGTTTTTGATGCTGGTGGTGGTGGTGGCGCTGCTGCTGTTGTTTTTGGTGCTGTTGCTGGCGGTGCTGCTGCTGTGGTTCTGTTGCTGCTGCTGTTGTTGCTGCTGCTGTTGTTGCTGCTGTTGCTGCGGCTGCTGTTGTTGCTGCTGCTGGTTCTTCAGCAAGTCGGAGGTTGCCTGTGTCTTGCATGTGCCTTTGCTGCTGTTGCTGCTGCTTCCTGCTGCTGCCTCTGCCATTGCTGCTGCTGCTGCTGCGTTTGCTGCTGCGGGTTTCAGGGCCAATTGTGTCTGCGTGCTACGACGGGGTGCTGCGGCTGCATTCTGCTGCTGCTGCTGCTGCTGCTGCTGAGGCGGGGGCCCCCTCTTTGCTGCATGCAGTGCCTTTGGGGCAGGGGCCCCTTGCTGCTGTTGCTGCTGTTGACTTGGGGCCCCCCAGCAGCAGCTCGCAGCTGTGCCTGGCGGCCACTCAGGGGGGGGGCCTTCTCCTCGTCTCCATGGCCGACAGCAGCAGCAGCAGCAGCAGCAGCAGCAGCAGCAGCAGCAGCAGCAGCTGGACCCACAGCATAGTTGCTGCTGGGGCCCACGGGGGCCCCGCCAGCGCTGTGGCCACGTGGGGTGCAGCGCAGCTGACGGCTGTGGGCGGCGGCGACGGCCGCATAACTTTGTGGGAAACAGCAGCAGCAGCAGCAGCAGCAGAAGCAGCAGCAGCAGCAGCAGCAGCAGCAGCAGCGGGAGCGGGAGCAGGGGACGCGGCAGGGGAGGCAGCAGCAGGGGAAGCAGCTCGGGAGGACGGCGGGAGGCGCCAGAAGCGGCGCGCTTCTGCTGCTGCGGCTGCTCCCGGTGCTGCTGCTGCTGCTGCTGCTGCTGCTGCTGCTGCTGCGGGGCCGCTGCAGCGGCTGTCTCCCGTGTCTCTCTTTGCATGCGCTTCTCCAGTGACTGACGTCGTTTTTGGTGATTCGTTTTGCTGCTCCGCTTCTGAAGACGGCCTGCTGCAGCTGTGGGACCCGCAGCGGGCGCAGCCAGCAGCAGCAGCAGCAGCAGCAGCAGCAGCAGCAGCAGCAGGGAAGTGGCGCTGCAGGTCAACCCCGCTGGCCCTCGCGCTAAGTGCTGCTGACCAAAAGCTGCTTGCTGCTGCTCATGCTGACGGGCGAGTGCGGCTGTACGATGTCCGTACACCTGAAGGGCTGGCGCTGGAGACAGCAGCAGCAGCAGCAGCAGCAGCAGCAGCAGGTGTGGGGTCTGGAGACGATCCCAGTGATCCCGCGGCCTTCAGCCAGCGGCTGGCCTTCAAGACGCGGCACGCGCGGCTTCCCGCTGCAGTGGCCTGGACCCCCAGCAGCAGCAGCAGCAGCAGCAGCAGCAGCAGCAGCAGCAGCAGCAGCAGCGGGCAGCCGCTGCTCGCGTCCGCAGGACAGGACGGCTGCGTGCTGCTGCACGACCTGCGGTCTGCTGCTGCTGCTGCTGCTGCTTTCAAGGCGCAGCAAGGGGGCCTCCCCGTCCGCCTGCTTTGCTGCTCCTGGTGTACAGACACCGCAGTTGCTGCTGCTGGCAGCGACGGCAGAATTCGAATCCACCATTTGCTGGGGGGCCCCCCCGCTGCAGCAGCTCTCCACTGACTCCTGCATGCATGCATGCATGCATGCATGCATGCATGCATGCATGCATGCATGCATGCGTGCATGCATGCGTGCATGCATGCGTGCATGAATGCGTGCATGCGAACTTTATAATGCAGCTCCTGGGCGCTCCGGGGGCCCCAGGGGCCCCACCGAGGCCCCTGGGGGGCCCCAGGGGGCCCCGGGAGTCTTGCTGGGCCCCTTGGGGCTTTGGGGGGCCCCAGGGGGGCCCCAGGGGGCCCCTTGGGGACTTCCAGGGGGCCCCAGGGGGCCCCAGGGGCCCCTCGGGTCTTTGAGGGCCCCAGGGGGCACCGAAGGCTCGCTGGGGTCCCCCAGAAAGCCCTCGGGGGGCCCCGTAGGTCCCCAGGGGGCCCCCAGGGGGCCCCCTGGGGGCCCCCGGGAGAACAGCGTTTGGCCAGGGGCAAACCCTAAACCCTAGACTTTTGGCCCTAAACCCTAAACCCTAAACCCTAAACCCTAGGAGCTCTTGACTGGGGACGCGGGCCCTAGACTTTCTGAAGAGCCTTTGCTTGTGGGCCTGCAGCTAACTGGTCTCAAACAAAACAACTAAAATAAAAAACAAAAATAATAAATAATAAATAATAAATAATAAATAATAAATAATAAATAAATAATAAATAAATAATAAATAAACAATAAATAATAAAATAAATAAAAGAGTCCGAAATAGCAGAAGTTCCTTTCAGAAGGCCAGCCGGGGGGTCTCCAGAGTTGGAGCCCACGGCCTGCGTTGCTGCTTCCCTGCTGCCTTAGCAGCAGCAGCAGCAGCAGCAGCAGCAGCAGCTGCTGCTGCTGCTGCTGCTGCAGCAGGCACTATTCGCCTGCCCTGCACACACAGCTCCTGCTGCGCCCTCCGGGGGGCCTCTGCAGGTGCAGCACCAGGGGGGCCCCCCTCAGCATAAAGTTCCCGAATGAGGCTGCTGCTGGGGTCTTCGGGGGGCCCCCCGGGGGCCCCCCCGGGGGGCCCCCCGGGGGGCCCCCCGGGGGCCCCCAGGGGGCCCCCAGGGCCCCCTTTTGGGGGCCCCGCGAACAGAGGCGGCAGTACCCTCAAAGCCTCAGCCTCACTCAAACTGCCATCAAATATCAACTCCCAATTCCCCAGGCAAAACCCAACATCCCCAGGGGGGCCCCCCGGGGGGCCCCCGGGGGGCCCCCCGGGGGGGCCCCCAGGGGGCCCCCCTGGGGGCCCCCCTGAGGGGCCCCCCGGGGGGGCCCCCGGGGCTTCCGGGGAAGCCCCCAGGGCGGCTGAGGCGTCGCGTTGGCTCGCAGCTTTGTGGGCGTGCGTGCCCGGGCCCCTCTCCCGCTGCTGCTGCTGCTGCTGCTGCTGCTGCTGCTGCTGCTGCTGCTGCTGCTGCTGCTGCTGCTGCTGCGGGTGTTTGAGGACAATGTCGAGGAGCTGGTCCACCATGCGGGTGAGGAGCGCATGCATCCAGGGCAGTCTGCTGCTGCATGCAGGACTCATGTTGACTTCCAGCAGCCAAGGGTTTAGCTGCTGGTCCAGCAGCACATCAAGTCCGAAGAGTTCGAAGCTGCTGCTGCGCTGCAGCACGAAAGGCCGCGCAGCACGAACGGCCTGCAGCGCCAGCTGCCGCAGCTGCGGCAGCAGCACGCGGCCCCAGTAGTCTGCTTCCCCGCTGGTTTGCTGCAGCAGCAGCTGCAGGCACTCCAGCGGCAGCGTCGTCTCCCCCTCTGCTGCAGCAGCAGCAGCAGCAGCAGCAGCAGCAGCGGCAGCAGGAGCCGGCGCGTCCGCGGAAGGCCCGCCGGAGCCCCCTGCTGCTGCTCCACCTGCTGCTGCTGCTGCTGCTGCTGCTGCGCCGCCCGCGGGGACTTCCGCCGCGCTGCTGCTGCTGCTGCTGCTGCTGCTGCTGCTGCTGCTGCTGCTGCTGCTGCGGGGGGGCCTGAGCCTGTTGAGGCTCCAGTTGGAGACGTGGCGGAAGAGGCTGCGGAGGTCCTGCAGCGAGTAAGGCTCCGCGCAAACCCTCAAA